TTAAAGTATATCTTTTTTTGGTAAAATATTAAGAAAAACATAACTTTTAATCTCTGCACTTTGCTGCACTTTTTCTTTTTAAGTATTTTGAGTTTTTACACTTTTATGTTTTAGTGTTTTAAACCTTTAAATGAACAAAATATATAAACCTTGAAAAAATTTAAAATATTAAAAAAATAAAAATATAAGGATTTAAAATATAAAAAATGTAAAAATTTATAATAAAATATGAGCAAAGTGCAGGAATCAAAAATTATATTTTTTTTAAAATACTTATTAAAGTATACTTTATACAAAATAAATACATGGTCAGTTGATATTAGATATATTTTTCAATGAAATTTACTGTTAATGAATTTAAATATTTAAAAAATTTTAAATTAATAAATAATTTTCATAGAACTGAATTTTTTGAAAAAAATATTTAGTTATATAGAAAATATGTGAACCAAAAAATTGATAATAATGCTTTAAAGACACTGACAAAAATTAGTACAATCATTTGCTTGGAAGTTATTGGAAAATAGCCCCTTCTTTAAAGAGGGACCACTCGCCGCCTGCCATTTGCATATTCGAATATGGCAACGGGTGAGAACGAATTGGATTTTTTTGGCACAAGCAAATCCAGACCTTTAAATTTAATTGGATGGGTTGTGCATATAGGCCAGAAAAAATAAATTGAATTATTTATAATTTAAACCAGTAATATCTATTTGTATTCTTTTTTTCTTACTCTTTTTTAATCATATTAATCATATTTTATTTCAAATCATGCATGTATGTTTCTCTTGTTGTGAGCATGAGTAGGATTGTGCGTGGACAGGATTAGGCGGGGCAGCTACTCTGCTTTTTGCCCAACCTTAATTCTCCTTCAATCTAGAAATTGAGCTCAATACCTATCCACGCTTGAAAATGCCCAAGGTTGGAGTGGCTGTGGTGATAAGGTCGGGAAATTCGGGCATCCTCAAGTTAAGATGCCTAGTTTGGCTTTTAAAATGACTTTTCCTGAAATCAACCAAAAAAAAAAAAGATCTAAAATAATGATAAGTATAACAACTAATTACAATAAAAAAAAACAATAAATCCTCAATGTAAAAAATGCTTACAATAAACCACTAATAGTCCTATCGGAGTTGGAATTCCAATAGAAGTGGATAATAATAGGGAGGTATACCATTGGGAGTCAATGTTGCTGGGGAATTTTAATCCAAACTCCTATACATAAATATAAAATTATAAACAATGATTGCAATATTGTTGGCAGAGCAAAATTAAAAAAGGAAGCGAGGCTTAGAAGTTGGAACAAGCTGAAAACTAAATCAGATCAACGGACACGGTTTCTAAAAAATTTAGGCAAAGGCAGTAAACGAAGTTCAAAAGTTAGAAAAAGCTTCTGCATATCATGGTGTCTAAATTTTAAATGCCACAATTAATAAGAGCAAAAATCAATATTGCCATGCTAGACCTAGAAAAAGGTAAGAAAAATTTAGAACATGCAGTGAAGTCACGAATCAGAGCACACAAACAACAACAAAAATCAGAGCAAAAATCATATTATTGAAGCCACAAACAACCACACCTAGAGATGAAGCACGAGTTAAAACAAAGATGAAGCAAACATTAAATGAAAATACCTTGAGTTGCAGACGACCTCGAGTTACAAATGAACACGAAGATGCAATAACCATGAATCAACACAATGTTGAAGAGACGAAGATGAAGGTGACGAGTGAGTGACAAACAGCCATGCCCACGAAGTCAAAGCCTAAATTCAAATATGAAGTTGTAGATGAATTCAAAATCAAAGGAAGGCTGAATTTGAAGGATTTAAGCGAATGAGTGATTCTCAATCTCAAGTCGAAGAAAGATGTGAAGTGGGAGTGACCTTGTGTTGCAATTGTGAATGACTAAAGAGTAAGAGTGAGTGATTGAGTGCCACAATTAGGGTTCCTTTCCTTCTTTAAACTCTTTTAAATCTTCCTTTTCCATCACTTAAATGACATCATTACAATAAAAAAATTTAGAAAAACTAATAATAAGCACCTCAGGTCTGGTTGGACAAGATGGTCGAACATGTTAGCCTTAACCTTGCTCAATTTGAGCTATGGGCTAAACCAACCATACCTAAAAAAATCAAGCAACTTTATTTCTCCTTTGTGTCAAGTGAAAAGCTCTAAGGCTGGGTCAAGTTTATGGGGCAACTAGGCCATGTGTTTAGACCTAAGCACAAGGACCAATGAGATTATCTCCTTCCAGATACTAAGAGCAAAAGGTAAACTTCTCTTAAGTAAGATTGTTACATATGCATGGGTCACATGCTTTCTCCATTTCTCCACATGATGCATCGTAACGAGAAATAAATGATACTATTTATACGTAATGAATAATATGATTTGTTATAAATTTTATTATATTTCTAAATCATCAATGAGATATTAGAGTCATGGTAATCTATTGTATTCTAAGAAGCATTGATATGGTGCGTATATCAAATATGATATAGCATGATATACTTTAATAGCAAGTTTCAACATTTTATAATACAGGCATAAGAAAATATGTTATATATTTCAATATTTTAAAGCAGGAGTACATGCATCTTAAACAGCAGAATGTCTTTGATGTATCATAAAGCACATGACATGTACACATAGGATACATTTTTTATTTTTTAAGCATCGATGCTTCATGTACTATAATTATTGATAACTTCTAAATGGTAAGAACTGAATGTAAATTTTATATTAAATACAGATACATAGATATAAAATATAATTATACATGCATGCACACATATAAATATTGAATTTAAAGATGTATATTAAAATACAAACATGGATTTAATTAAAGGGAAAATTATTGTGAAGGACATAAAGCCAACAAGTTTGCCACATTGTTTTTCTCTAGTGCAACAAGGCTCATTGATGTTTGAGCTGCTTCTCAAGTTCTCAATACCCTATAGGCTATAGCTTCTCAAAGATGAAGGTGAAGAGGAAAGAGAAAGGCATTGAGTGAGTGAGGAATAGCCACATCACGAAGTCAAGGCTTGAATTCAAAGATGAAGGAACAGATGAATTTGAAATTAAAGAAGGTTGAATTTGAAGGACTTAAGTGAATGCATGATTATCAATCTTGGATTGAAGAGAAGAAGAGATGAAGAGGGAGTGAGCATGAGTTGTGACTATGAGTAACTAAAGAGTAAGTGTGAGCAACTGAGTGTTGCAACTAGGGTTCCTTTCCTTCTTCAAACTCTTTTAAGTCTTCTTTCTCCATCCCTTAAATGGTAAAGTTATAATAAAAAATAAAAAATAATAACAAGCACCTCAAGTCAAGCTGGGCAAGCAAGCCCTAGCCATGCCCAACTTGAGCTTCAGGCCAGCTTGATGATGCTTAAAAAAAAACCAAGCAGCTTTCTTTCTCTCTTAGGCCGAGCAAAAAGCTCTAGGGTCAAGTCAAGATTTTCAGGCAACCAAGTCGCATGTTTAGCCTTAAGAATGAGGAGTAACAAGAGTTATCTCCCCTGAAATATTGAAAGAAAAGAGTAGCTATGCATTTCTCAACTAAATTGTTACACATACAAGGACCACATATTTTCTCTATTTCTCCACAAAATGCACGTTGTTGAGAAATAATGATACTATTTATACATAATGAATAATAAAATTTATAATTTGTTATAAATTTTATTACATTTCTAAACCATCAATAAGACATTGGAGTTGTGCCTTACATAAAATCTATCACATTTTAAGAAGCATTGATATGGTGAATGTATTGAGTATGATATATCATGATTGAATACAACAACTTTAAAATTTAATGATACGAGCAAAAGAAAATATATGTTATGTATTTCAATATTTTAAAGCATGAGTACATGCTTCTTAAATAATAGAATGTCTGACATGTATTATAAAGTACATGACATGTATCATATTTGATATATTTTTTTTTTAAGTATTAGTCCTTCCTATATTGTAATTATTGATAACTTGTAAATGGTAAGAACCGAACGTAAAATTTATATTAAATGTAGATACATAGATATAAAATGTATTTATATATATATTGGATTTAAAAATATATATTAAAAGACAAACACAGATTTAATTAAAGGGAAACTTATTGTGAAGGACCTCAACCCAACAAGCATGCTACATCGTTTTTCTCCGGTGCAACAAGGCTTGCTGATGTTTGCGTTGCTTCTAAATACCCTCTGGCTTCTTAATTGGTGAGTTTCTGACTTCACGGTGAAAGAAACCAGATCCACCATTGAAGCAACAGCATTTTCAACTGATTAACCAACATATGTCTAAGCACTGAGCTCAATGGTAAAAGGACTTGGCCTTGAGATGTGCCATCTGAAATTTTAGATGTAAAGGCCAAAAAAATAACGTCACTGAGGAGGAATTGCGAAATCATCCATCATCTGCATGTGAAATTGAACATTTTATTTCCACCTTCGCTCATGGACAACTAACGCTATCATGTTTTTTTAAATTCATTTTATTACAATATCCTGGAAAGTAAATTTTGTTATATATTTGAGGATGCAAGAACTTAACCAATGATGTGCTGTATCTAATGGAAGCTAAGGCTGGTACAACGTGTAAGGGTCATTTTATTTAAATTTTTAAGGAAAATCATTTTCAGGTCTTGCATAAATAATTTAAATATATAAAAGTCCTATAAATTCATAAAATTACTTCAAAATCCCATGTTTTTCTATTAAATTTGTCAATTACTGCTGTATAGTTGTCAATTATTATTATTAATTGTTTTGTATTTAGATTTTTTACGTGCGATGTGGGGATGATTTTCCCTAATTTTTCTTTGTTGGGTCCTCTAACATAAATAGCATTTTTAAGGTACTTTAGCCTAAATATTCCCCCGTTTTGGTCCTTCACAGTAATTCTCCCAAAATATCCGCTTTACTATTACATTATCTACATTTATTTCTCGCCACAGAGATTTGTTTATAAATAAAGAGACTCGCTCTCTAACGAAGCCAATCCCTAACGTCTCCGTGGCGCCAAGAAACACCCACTGACCCACTCGAATTCCGAGCCAGGGATACCATGTTCCTGCGGAGGCTTCCTATTTCCGTGGAGAATACTCTAACTCCAATTCCCAAACATCACGCTTCTCCTTCTTCTCCTCGTTACCAAACACACCGATACCCTTCCCTGCCCGTCGTTCCCAATCTTCGAAGTCGCGGTATCGTTCTAGCTTCGCCAAATGTCGCCGTCGAGGTCCAGGGCGAGTCGAGCGACGGACCCGTCGGCTCAAGACCGTCTCGGGAGCCTGAGCCGCTGCCACCTGAGCTGCGACCGGATCTGATACCAAAGCATGTGGCGGTAATTATGGACGGAAACGGTAGGTGGGCTAAGATGCGAGGGTTGTCGCCGTCGGCCGGTCACGAAGCTGGCGTGAAGTCGCTGAGAAGGATTATCGAACTGTGTTGTAGTTGGGGGATTAAGGTTCTGACCGTTTTCGCGTTTTCGTATGATAATTGGGTTCGCCCAAAGGTTAGTTCTTCGTCGGCAGCTATCTTAGTTTGAATTTCGGTTTGATAGCATTTCAGCGCTTCTCGACTCTTTACTTGGGGAGATGTCATATCTTCTTCTTCGACAGTACTTTTTTCTTCAGGAAAAAAAATAAAAATAATATTTTAAAGAAAAAAAAAAAAAATTGGTCAACAAAACAAAATAGAATGAAGGATCCATTCTGACCATCGACGAAAACTAGCATTTTTCAAAAGTAGTTAATTTGATGTTTAATTCTATAATATATATGCTGTCTGGCATCTAGATTTTTTGTTTTGTTGGAAGCATTAAGTTGCACCATAGTTTTTAAAAATATACCCTCTTCATTTAAATATGTAAATTATTTTTAAAAAATTAAATATTAAAAAATATAAATTAATTTTATTTTTTAAGATATAATTATTGTTCATTTTTTTAAAAATATCTTTATTGATAATAATTTTATATTTATTATAGAGTGTTTAATAGAGATAAATATATAAAAATAGGATTAGTTTGAAAGTAAGTAATAATTTTATTAAAAAATAAAATTTAATTAAAAATACTTTATAAAAAGATTATATATTTAGAACTTTGGACTATTTGTTTTATCATCACTTGTTAGATTGAGTGGCAAGGAATTTTAGTAAGGCGTGAAATGAAATTTAATCCTATGATATGAAAAACCCATTTTATATTGGTAACCTTAATAATTCTTAAATATAAATCAGCCGTTGGTAATATATACTAAATAATCATTAAAATTTTTTATTATTTAGTTCTAAAAATATGATTCAGATTTTTAAAATCGCTATTAATCCCAGACATGAGTACTCCTCTCCTGTAGTTTATTATTTCAAATATGACAGGGATGGTTAAGCGGCTTTTAAAGTTCAACAATATGGATTGGTATTGATTTGAGATAAAAATGAGTACTCCTCTCCTGTAGTTTGTTTCGAGTAATTTTTAATTTGTTACTCTCTTCATTTAAAAATAAAATATATTTTTTAAAAAAATTAAATATTAAAAAATATAAGATATTTTTAATTTTTTGAGGTATAATCATTGCTTTTTTTAAGTGCTTCTATTAATAATGACTTTATATTTATTGTATGATGTTTAATAGGGGTAAATATAAAAATATAAAATTAGTTTGAAAGTAAATAACTATTTTATTAAGAGATAAGATTCAGTTAAAAATGTATTATATTTTTTAACGAAAAGGGTATTTAAATGAAAATTGAATTTATTATTTGTATATATTGATTTCAATTTAGTTACTATTAGTTATAGTTATAAGTATAATTATTTTAATTTAAATGTAAAAAGATAAGCATAAATATAAATAATAATTTTTTTGTGCAAAAATCCTTTATAGTGGTTGAGAAAAAATGACAAAATCGCATATAGAACCAATTTCTTCATTTCTTGTTTTAACAAACTGGTGCAATGATTCTTTGTCCCCTCAAAAAAAAAAATACTTTTGGATGTAAGAATCTAAGGATGTTGTTACTTTTAGTTGTCTTGTGACTTTTGACTAATGACTAGTGAGATAGTTCAGGATCAGGACTTCAGTCACTTTTTTCCTTAACCTCTTTTACTTAATTGCTTGCCCTATATGAGCCCACCAATGCTGTAAGCCCAGTCTACTTCAATGTATATAGACAGGTTGGGTTGAGCCTATAACTGGACCTACACTGGGTCACTCTAGCGAATATTATCTACTCTTATTCATTAAAAAAATAAAACATATTTTACAGGAATCTCATATTCGAATAAAATAATTAATTATTTTTAAATTAATATTATCTATCTAAATTTATTTTTATTTAATAAAAAATTTTACTTTTAAAATAAATATAAAATAATTTATTTATTATGTGTACTTTAAAAAAAACACATTAATTATATATTGAAATATTAAAATTACTTTGTATTTTTTAATAGAAAAAGTATTATTTTTTTATTTTTTTGTGAATATTGATAGACTGTACATCAAGGTAGTTTTATCTAGAAATTTTTGATAGTAAACTGATGTTAATTGTTATGATTATGACAAAGACTTTTAGGATTTTTTTTCCTTAATTTTATTTTAAAATAAATTTCTTCATTTAATATTGTTTAGAAATAATATATAATTAATAAGTGTTAATAATTTTAAAGAGTACTACTTTTAAGCCTACTATTATTTTTGAAATGGGTATATACGAAATTAATTATAAATTTGGTTAATAAATAAAATAAATTCTTCCCTTTTCAATTTTAAATGTTTTTTTTTAAATTACCTCTCTAGCAATTGCATGAGGCTAGATTCTGCCGTAATATTGACATGAATGCTCCGTGATTCTTTTATTTATAAGTGGTCTTCTTTAAATTCATAAATGACATTCTATTAATTGTTTAAATAATTAAAAGTATTTTAACAGCAAATAAAAATTACATATATATTTTTAACATTTTAATATTTTAAGGCCCTCTATTGTTTCATCGTGATGATTTTCTGTATTGTGTTATTTTTAAATATTTTATCAAACTATCTCTCTCGCACGGGACCAGATTCAACCGTAATGATGACTGGATAAACAGCCCGTGAATGGTGATTCTTCTTGATAACACAATCCTTTTAGCGAGTGGCCTTTTGATGTTGAGATTCGGTTCTGGTGCAGGTGGAGGTTGAGTTTTTGATGAACCTCTTTGAAAGAACAATAAGCACAGAAATTGACGCTTTCAAGAGGTAGCTCTCCCCACACTTTAGCACGAACCTAGCCAATTTTTTTCATTATTTTATGTTCATTTTTTATCTTTTATAAATTAAATGGGAGAAAATAATTTCTGTTATTCTTCATTGAGCCAGAGATAAAAATTTATTAAATTTTAATACAAAGGTGTTAAGATTTAAGATTTTTATTAATTCTAATAAAATATGTTAAAAGTGATTTATAAATAGAATTAAAATGAATATTATATACCCCTTCGTTTTAAAATAGAAAGCATTTTTTTAAGTAAGATGGTAAAAAAATATAAAACATTTTAAGTTTTTTAAAGTATAATTAATGAGATTTTTTTAAAATATTAGAAGTATAATTAATAAGATTTTTTTTAATCGAGACATCATATCAAATAATAATAATAAATATGAAATGAGTATGCAATTTTAAAGAGAATTAAAACCTACTGGGAACCTAAGGTTAAGTATGTCTTGTATAATATTAAAGGGAGTAATCTTGATGGGAAACAACCAAAAACTATACTAATCATTAATTATTTTTCTAATTTTAATATTTTGGTATATATATTACAGTGAGGGAATCAGAATTTCTGTAATAGGAGACACGACAAAACTCCCAGAAACTCTGCAGCGAATGATAAAAAATTCAGAGGAAAGCACAAAGGAAAACTCGTTATTCCAATTGATAGTGGCGGTTAGCTACAGCGGCAAGTACGACGTCGTGCAAGCATGTAAAGCCATAGCTGAGAAGGTGAAAGAAGGCGCGGTGGAACCAGAAGACATCAGCGAGAGCCTGATTGAGAAAGAACTTGAAACCAGTTGCACGGAGTTCCCAAACCCAGACCTTATGATTCGGACCAGTGGAGAACTTAGAGTCAGCAACTTCTTGCTGTGGCAATTGGCCTACACAGAACTGGTCTTTGATCCAGCCCTGTGGCCTGATTTTGGGAAGCAGCAATTTGTGGAAGCCTTGGCTTCCTTCCAACAGAGGCAGAGACGCTTTGGTGGACGCAACTCGTAATCTAGTCATTGTATTTGCTTCAAAGCTTAGGCTATGATTGGCCATGGACCTGGGACGATAATGCTTTTTTTAAATCGTTATTGTAATAAAGTTTTTTTATACAGTTTATCTGTAGCATCAATCATTATCTATATTCTGGCCAAAAGAAAATCATTATCAATATAATTATATAAAGTAGGGAGAATTTTATTATAGGATCATAAATAAGATTTAATTATAGATGAGGTTCAAAAAGTACCGAAAATTCACTGCAAGCTAACGAGATTCAAATGAAATAAATTTTATTAATTAAATGATCATATTACCTTCAGTTAAATTTTCATATAAAAAAAAAAAAAGAGGCTTGACTAATAGGCTTAGTCACTGTCTTCTTCTCTCGCTCTTCCTCCTCCTCCTCGACAGCTATCACCGTCGCTGCTTCTCGCTTCTTTCTTTCTTCCAATACTGTCACGCCCTAATTGTAACTTTTCCAATGAGGGGAGGTTGATAAATGTAAAACATGAAAGTTATCCCCAAAATTTTAAAAAAACCTTGAAAAATTGTATAATAGAAAATATGGTCTGCAAAAAAAGTTTGAGAATCGATTATGTATAAGGAAAGTGTTAAATACCACATAACACTTATTTATAAGAACAATTACCTTAAATTAATTGTACAAATTAACCTTTTAATAATAGATTAATTATCTTTTATATTCACACACAAAAATAAAGATGAAATATATGAAAACAAATTATTTATTTATATAAGAAAACTTGATCTATAAAGTATTGATGAAGTGCCTCATGACATTACATAACATCATTCACTGAAAAAGCCAGTGTTGGAAGTCATGTTAATGGCAAGCCCTTCATAGTTTTGGGCTATTTCTTGGATCTGTTTGGGCATGTGAGGTTTTAAATGAGGGTTTACCCCTCATATGACTTGTTAGATACAATTGCTTTTGCAGTTGGAGGGAAGTCGAGATGGCAGCCTATAGTTCAAGCACAAGAAATTGGAGTTTTGCTTCTTTAATTAGGGATTGTGATTTTCGTTATGCGTTTACTTTGCCCAGGGTTCCATTACCTAGGTCTGAGCTAAGGAATCCCATTACCTTTTGCTTCTGGTGGATTCTTTAACTTTGCTTTGGTAAGGAAGCTGCATTTGATTCTTGAGAAGCATTTTGTCCTTATATAGAGTTAACTACATGCATTAAAATGTATTAATGGTGTTGGAATAATCAGAAATATTAGTTTCTAATGGTCATAAGTCTGCAGGAAGTAATTTGTACATGCATTGAATTAATACATCTGAATTTACGTACATTGATTACAAGGAGTTTGATGCTGGGACAGTTATAAAATGTTCAGAATTAGATGTTGGAGTATTGTATTTTAATATTTTACCTTTGGCTGTAAAATTACTTGTTAAATTCATGACATGATTTGTTAATTATTTAATATAATTTATTGATTGTAGGATAGGTCAAATACATTTGGATAAAAGCTCTCTCTCTCCACCAATATAGGACCTGGACATAAAAAGCCCAACTCTATCTGCTCGTATTCAAAGTGGATCACCACCCTCACCTATACAAAGTTTGCCTAAATCAACGCTGCAACAAAGCACAAGCACTCTTCATTATGCACATTAATGTAACTCAGTTTAGAGTTTTTGATTAGTTGGGGAAACAACTATTGTGCACATATACACAATCCATATACTCTTTGGTAATGGGTTGTAATATTTTGAATGTGTCATATATGTAAGTTCTTTTGTACATTTAAATGGATGTTTGATTCATTAGGGTGCATCTTGGCATACCATCACAAGTGCAAGCATAAGCATGGAATTTTTTATAAAGTCTGATAATGTACCTGTCTTTAAACTAATGTAAATTTCCTAAACTTCAAGTATAATTTTCCTTACATTACTTGTTAAGGCTATAATATTATTTATGTAATATTTATCTCGAGTAAAACTATTCATGATTAGCTCGTTAAATTACTAATGTCATTTATAAAATGTCTAAAAGAACTTATAGATTGCCTTATATAACTTGTCAACTCCTTGTAAGTGTGAATTATACATGATTTGTTAAATTATAACTGCACAAGTAAAATATCTTGTAAAACTTGATAATATACTTGTCTTCAAATTAATACAGATTCTCTTATAGCTTCACTTGTAAATTGTAAAATCTTAAGACTAGAATATAACTTGTGCAATATTCATCCTGTGTAAAAACCATCTAGGACTTGTTAAATCATTGACATTTAATATTACTTATAAATTGTCTTATGTTACTGTCAAGTCTATAATTTTACTTGCAAATATGGCTTCTCTCATATGCCCATTTCCTTTTGTTTAAATACTATAGGTAAACATGTCACCTTGCCAGGAAACTTAATTTCATTGTAGTCCTTAAAACTTGTATTGTTATTTCAAAAATATTTGGGTGTGATTAGAAAATAGGAAGAATAGCGGTGAAAAATTGTTGGAAGAAATTTATATTAATCAAGAATTAGTTGTTATCAAAATCAAAATAAAAAAGCCCAAATGAACTGTTAATAATTTAGAATAAATTATTGTTAAAATTTGAATGGATACTTATTGATAAATATTAATTTGAATTAACAAGTATCCATTCAAATTTTAACAATAAATAATCATTAATTAATATAAATTTTTTTTAATGATTTTTAATTGATATTTTTCCTAGAAAATATGTACCCACCTTGGTCATAGAATGAAATTCTCCCTATAAAGTATGTATATAATTAACTATTAACAGATCTTTGGCGGGCCCCTGAGCTAATCTTTAGCCATATAAAAAGTAAGTCTTTTCTCTTGAAATAACCAAAAAAAAAAAAAACTCTTACTTTTGTGATCCATGAGCATACCCGTGGGCTAATCTTTAGCACTATAGAGAAAATTAGAGGCAGATAATCAGCAGAGCTTACTTTTTATATTTTAAAAAAATTGACAGTTAAGAATGTCATGGATTGAAACCCTCTAGTTAATAATTTATTGAAAGAATTGCAGGTAGACTTCAATGAAATTGTGCAATTTATATAGTGGATCTTATTCAATAGATTAAGACTTCTTGTCCCATGACGCATCCGATCTTGGTTCCAAAATACATACATCAGTGTTAAGTACATATATAATTTAATAAAAATCAGATCAGTCGTCAAATTAATGGTATGATCTGAATTGAACCGTGATCAAGCTAGTTCTAAATAAATTAGTACACTTTTAAATGTTAGACTAAATATTTTAAATAATAATATAAAAATAAGGTAACTTAATAAAGATAAAATGTTAACATATTAAAAATAATAAAAAAAATATAAAGTATAATTCAAAAGAAACGATAAATAATTTTATAAAAAATTATAAATGATTAAATATAAAATATTTAATAAGTTGTGTATTGAAGAATATTTAGTTTATAGTACTTAAGATCTATACCAAAGCCGTGCAAGTCGGTTTTCAAAGCATGATAATAATAATATGAAAAAAATATAACTTTGAATTCTTATAATTTATCCAAATTTTGCTGTAAGTCGCTGTATTTTTTTTTTTTATGTTTTAAGTTCTTACGCTTTTACTTTTTGATATTTTAAGTCTTTTCATAATCAGTGTTACAGGGATTTAGAACACCAAAAAATAAAAGTGTAAAAACTTATAACACTAAAAAAAGTATAAGAATTTATAAGAACACCCGGTAAAGTGTGAACTTAAAGTTATATTTTTTTAATAATATATATAATATAAATCTTTTGCTTATGGCATTTGGTTTAGGCTTTAGCTTAAACTATTCCCTTTAGGCAGGACCAGCTAATCATCAACGTATCTCATGTATCCATGGGTACCAAGGGTCCATTTGGATAAACAAAAGTTGGGTTTTAGAATCTGGTTTTTGACACTTCCTAAAATGTAAATGTTGCCTGGGTAAAAAAAGGTGTAGATGCACATTCCAAACATGGTTGAATTGAATTTAAGAAATAGTTGATCCCCTGATATGCTTTTGTACATGTAAATCAAAAACTAAACACACACAAAAGTGAATTTTCGTAGAGTGAGTAGCTTTTAAAGCTCACACTCGGCCATTGGTATTAAATGAGAGAGTTAAGTGTGTACTTAATTTTTGATTTTATCATGCTACCCTTCAACTCCTTATGTTCTTTTGTTAAGGACTAATATTATACTCTCCCATCTCAATTTATAAAACACCTTTGTACAAAAATGCATTTGATAATTTTATTTTTTTAAAATAAAAATATAAATTTTTAAAAAGACTCTTCATTTAATATTTTATTTATAAAAGAATATTAAAGAGATTAAGAATATAATGAGAAAAATATCATTAGTAAAATCTATTTTTTATTAAAATATTTTATATTTTGAAATGTCAAATTTTTCCAAAAGTATATTATAAATTGGGATGAGATATTATAATTAAAGATAAAAAAATATATTGAACTATTTATATATTTTTTCTATAATATATTAAAATTTTTATTTTTTATTATTTAAAATTTTAGTCACATATTTTTTAGCAAAAATTATAAAGCATAAAAATTAAAATCTTTATTATTAATATTATATTCAAAAACACTTTTCAAAATATATAATTCAAAAAATTGTCAGTGCACCGGAATTCAAACTTTTGATAACTTCTTGCCTCCTCAGTTTTTTCTTGTCAGACTTTTGATAAAACTTCTGATAAATATATTTATTATTCTCAAGCAAAAATCCCCTGGGGCAACATCGTAGCACGGTGACCTCGATAAACTTTCTCCATGGCAAATCAGGGGCAGAACTGCATCTTCTCCACCTTGTTTCTTTCTTTTCAGTTTTCAGTTTTACCTTCCATCTCGGAATTCGCCTTGTTCTTTATCTCCATCTTCCTGTAACTACCTTTCTTCGTCTTCTTCAACATACATTCACCAAACAGGCGAACGCCCGCTTGCTCACTGACAGCTTATTGTAACTACCTTTCAAACTCTCCTCAACTACAAACAAACAAAATACAAAATAGTTCTTCGTCATCAAATAAAATCATCCTCAATATCTTCCTTAACTACTTTTCAAACCCACCACGCCCATACACACTCCGCATTATCAAATCAAATTATCTTCAACCTTTCTATTTTCATTGCTTCTTCCTTGTCTCCCTTACTCATGGAGGCCTCATGGCAGCAAAGTGTTACATACTCCCTCAACACCATCTTCCTCCTCTTTTCTGCCTACCTCGTCTTCGTCATGCAAATCGGCTTCGCCATGCTCTGTGCCGGCTCTGTCAGAGCTAAGAATGCCGTCAACATTATGCTCACCAATGTCGTCGACGCCGTCGTTGGAAGCATCTCCTTCTACCTCTTCGGCTTCGCATTTGCCTTCGGCGACGGCGCCAGTTCTAACCCTTTCATCGGTACTAATCTGTTTGCTCTCGCTAGCATTCCTAATGGCACTTACGATTACAGTTTCTATCTTTACCAATGGGCTTTTGCAATAGCCGTAGCAGGCATCACAAGTGGGTCTATCGCTGAGAGAGCCCAGTTCAGTGCTTATCTCGTTTTCAGTTTTTTTCTTACGGGCTTTGTTTACCCAGTTGTGGTCCATTGGGTCTGGTCCTCCGACGGCTGGCTCAGTACTGGGTCGAGCCATTTGTTTCTGGGGTCAGGTGCTATTGATTTCGCTGGGAGCGGAGTGGTGCATCTGGTTGGTGCTGTAGCTGGTTTCTGGGGTTCGGTCATATTAGGCCCTCGGGTGGGCCGGTTTGACGCGTTCGGCAACCCAGTGCCGTTCCGAGGCCACAATGCAAGTCTCGTGGTACTTGGAACGTTCCTTTTGTGGTTTGGGTGGTTTGGGTTTAATCCCGGTTCATTTGATAAGATTCTTGTATCGTATCCTGACACATCCGACGAGGGTAATTGGACCTCCATCAGTCGCACTGCGGTTGTGACTACATTAGCCGGTTCAACAGCCGGAATCATAACCTTGTTTGGTCGGCGATTAATAATCGGCCACTGGGATGCAATAGATGTTTGCAACGGGTTGCTCGGGGGGTTTGTTGCTATCACTTCCGGATGCTCGGTTGTTGAGCCATGGGCCGCCATTATTTGTGGGTTTGTTTCAGCTTGGGTCCTGATTGGGCTCAATATCTTGGCCCTGAAATTGAACTATGATGACCCATTAGAGGCGGCCCAATTACATGGTGGGTGTGGGGCTTGGGGTTTGATATTCACGGGATTGTTTGCCAAGGAAGAGTTTGTGATTCAAGTCTATGATAAAGGCGTGACTGGGGGACCAGACCCTATGGGCTTCTATTAGGAGGTGGATGGGCTTTAGTTGGAGCCCAAATTATTGAATTGTTATCTATATTGGGTTGGGTTAGTGTTACCATGGGCCCTTTGTTCTATGCCTTACACAAGCTTAAGCTGTTAAGAATCTCCAAAGACGATGAGGTTACCGGCCTTGATATCTCAACCCATGGAGGTTCTGCTTATTCTCATCAAGAGGAAAACTTCCCTCTATCTTACGCCGATTATATTCGCCTTAGAGATCGTAATCTTGATTGAGTTTCAAGAACGGTCTAACATTCGTTTTTTTTTTTTTAAGCATTCCACTGTTGAAGAAGGTATTCAAATTCTAAGTTTTGTTGACCATTTTGCAAATCCAAACGCTTGCCTCCTCCTGTGCATCAACTTCGGCTTTTTACAGCATGTATCATTTATTGGTAAGATGCAGAGATTATTACTCAAACTTTTACACAACTTCACTAACACTTCATTCGTTAAATAAAGGCAATACATGAAGTTCGTAATTGATTTTGATGTTTAGTATGAGTGTTTTGATATTTTCTTCATAAAATTATAGTTTTGGCTTCTAAAATTAATTATTAATGTTATCCAATCAGGCACATTGTCTAGTGATTTTATTTCAAAAGTTTAACTATGTGCCTTTCCCAATCTTTTAGAATGTTGCGGTTGTTATTTAGTTCAGTTTCTCTTTACATGTGTCATGTATCACGTAGTTTCATGATAATTAATTTATTATCGATAAGAGTTTCTCTTTACATGTGTCATGTATAAATGTTAAACTTGAGACATGCAATTAAACACGTGGCTTGGGAGCATTTTATATGATCAAATGCCATATTCCTTTGTTTTTGGCGGAAAATCAATTGGAAACAAGACATTTTGCTGAGCCCCTTGAAAATACGTGTTCCATTTGCATTCTCAATTCCTGCTCAACTATTTAGTTTAACTTTTCTTCAACGAAATAATGTTTCCTGCTTTAACAAATCCATCACAGGTCCGTGAGTGTATAAAATGATCCTAATTTATATACATGCAGTTTTTTCTTCCGCCAGTATATAAAATGAAGGATTATCCAAACAGACCTTGCGATATTACTATTAGATTTCCACTTTGATTGCGCTTTTCTTGCAAACTCAAACTACAAGTGATGTGAGTCCTCAACAACTCATGCATCTAATTAACTGAGAAAACACAACTGACTGCTAACCAATTTACCAAATTGAAAACCAGAACACTCGTACATGCACAAAGCAGTTTCAAGGATTTTGCCAAAAGTGATACCCACAAAACAGTGAGGCAGTTCCAAAACGGCGCTTCCCATAAAAAGTATAACCCGAGAGGAAGCAAATCAATCAGACATATCATACAAGGGATTGTGACCACTTAAATGTAAGATATCGTGTTCCAGTATGTATAAATGGAAAAAAAAAACATTTGAAAGAGTTATTGTCAGTTAAGCCCAATAATATTCGAATTAATCCAATTAGATAGTTATATCTAAAGTTCCATCAGAAATTTGAAAAAAGTAAAAAACAAAACACTACAGAATCTCCAGAATATTCAAATTGTCCTGTAAATAAATGAGAAAGGCAGTGCAAGCAGAATCAGCAAGTTAACAGAAGTCTGGGTCCTCAGGACTGGATGACAGGGGATCAAATCACCTCGAACACGACTCGATAACTATAACAACCAGATAAGAACTAGAATTTATCCAGCAGTTCAATACCACGAGAAATTAAGCACAATAGCATGTAAGAAATCACTGCATGAAGCACAAAACTCTCAACTCGGTTCAGACGAGATTCCCCAACACTCCACCCCCTTTAAAAAAAAAAAAAAAGATTTTGGTTCCCCAAATAAAGCATTTTCTTATCTACCTTTATCAGCAGAAATAAAATATCAGGATACACCATTCAATATATATTGGTGTAGATAATTTACTATGTGAGATAACAACGGTGGGCTTTACAAACCAAAGCTTCCATTACATCTACATTCCCCTGCAACAATCCTAATTGGCAAATTCCCTCACCACAGTTCATGCATAATAGCTAGCATGTTATATCATTCCATATCGAAATGGTAAAGAAGTCCCTTCACTTCTAAGAACAAAGAAATTTACCGGCACAGGGCCAATGCTATTCCCACTGAAAACTGCTTCAGAGTCCGATAGCCAATTTTTGAGGGGAAACGAAATCAAATGTCCCAAATCCCAATTGTCGTAACCCTGGTCCTCCATCAAGAAAAATATATGAACCATTGCTCCTCATCCAGCCAACCTCACACCCATACAAAGATCTCAGGATTGCCTCTAGGTGATAGGAGAAGCAAGTTGATACTATGCAATTGGTCCCCCTTAAGGTGCTTTTAAAATAGGGTGGCTTTCCCTCCACTCCCCTCCTTTTCTTCTATTTCTCCAATTCTCCTTTCTCCCAAATGAGGCCTTAAAAGAGGCTGTCTATGATGACCAACAATGGCCTCAGGGCCCGTCACCAGAAATAAAACACCTACAAGCCACTTCATTACTCTCAATTGCTCAAACACAACACGATGCCATACAAACAGTTGCTCAAGCATAAAATGACGTCATATAAACTTGGCATCTTCCATGTCAATCACAGTCAGAAGCAATATATTTAAAGCAAATGAGTAGAACATGTGAGGCAAGCAGGGATTTTTGAGATCCAAGTTAAAATTTCCATCCACTGGGAAGAAAGAATTCTGCACAGGATGTAGTGAACTGATTGTGCGATGAAAACAGACCTCAACTAGCAAAGTAAGATTAGAATTTCCTCAGTACAGACATGACACTTCCAGAGATAGACAGAAAAGAACACGTTGAAATCTTCCATGACTTAAGTTCAAAGGAAATGCAGAGAGATCAAGAAGTCAAATTCTGGGTTTTAAGCATAATTAATTTGGTGTATCAACCTGAAGGAGTATAAGAGATATGTGGCACAAAGTAAAGTACTTTTATTATTCAGAAAATAAGGCATCAAGAAACTTTAACATTGGAGATAAACAGAAATTTCTAATGATACAAACAAAGAAAGGAAAGAGAACCCCAACTACTGGACACTCGAAAGTTGAAACTAATTGGCTAAGGGGGGAAAAACTGGTTGCTCGCAGAGTCGCAGCCGTATATAAGAAATAAATACAATTCAGGGGAGAACAGGAGAAGGGAGAGCGTGATAAACTAAATCGCAGCTAAGACTGAATAACATGCTAGTAGATTAAAGCAAATAGCAGCATCACGTTTTGTCAGAGACAAAAGCAATGCCCTAAGATTTCAGCCAAAAACTGAACAAGCTAGTAGATTAAAGTAAAATGCAGCAAAAACTGAGAGACAAGCTAGAGAGGATTAACGAGGCTTGGGAAAGAAATATTAGAAGATTGTCCAACACTCCTACACCAGATTATGGCAAAACTTCCACTAAGGTTATCATAAGATTTCAGCCATCACAAAAAATGGAAACAGAAGCAGTAACAGACATTGGATCAACGGGATCACCTTCCACAACTCTAGAGACAAAATCAAAAAGAAAAAAGGAATAATGGGATCCATGAAACAACTTGTCATAACCAACAAGAAAAAAATCCACAAAATTAGAGAAGAGTCGAGACGGGGCAGTAAATCAAACGGCAACAATCAAATAAAAGGATAATGATTGGGCGTCAATAATTTTCCAGATGGAAATTGAATCAGAGCTCAGCGGAATGTGCTGCAAGATGCAACGAAGGATGCCTACCGACTCCAGCAGCAGAACAATCAGAAAAGCGATGGAAAAACCCAACGAGATTGATGAGATCAACTCCAAAAATATTATACATCAATAAAAAAATCCAAGACACCCGGCACACAACATATTGTTGAAATTGTAACAAATTCCATAAGATTATGAGAAATTTTACAACTGGGAAGACAAATTATGCACACAAATCGAGGGCATCTGTAAATCATGCAACACAAAGTCACCGTCTGCTGTCGTAATCAACGACTTCGGAGTCCGTAACAGAGCGTGAGTGCTGAACAATCGCACGGCCGATGGAGTTGATCCACTCCTCCTTTTCCTTTTCGGTGTCAGCGATGAAGTACATGGTGGTGTTAGCGGTGGAGAGCTCAAAGGCACAGGGCTTGTGGACGATGTCCTCGGCGCCCTTGACGGTGAGGCAAGAGCCGACGGGGATGACGCCGCGAGGGGTCGAGGAGCGGGAGACGCTATAGGAGTCCTTGAACCAGAAAAGCTTACCTTGCTTGAGGACGAACCAGCGGCGGCGCCAGGTCTTGATGTAGTCGCCTTGCTTGGTGAGCCACCCGGCTCGCTCAGGGTTCGACCAGAACTCAATTCCATCGTAGTCTTCAGGTCTCGGGTCCTGACCCGTCGCAGCACGCCATAGATTCTCCATTCACCCCACCCTCCCTCTCTCTCTCGATCTCTCCGTAACAGACAGAAAGGTAGATTTGCGTTGTTTTCCCTACGAATTCTGCAACTAAAACAGTTGCCGGTGGTGGCAATGGGAAACACTCCAGTGTTTTTCTTCCATTATATATCTAACATTTATCTTTTTTAACAGATTATTTTTTTAGAAATATTTTTATAAAGGCAATCATTATCTTTTATCCTATAAATGTACATGGAATTTCTGAAAAAAAATCTTAAATTTTATAAATAAAAAAAATCAAGCATTTCATTAGTAATAAATTAACAGTATTTATATTTAAAAATAAGTAAGTTAATTTTAAAGTCAAAATTTTTTGTTAATTAACTTAGCTTTTATAATTAAAAGAAATTTTTATAAATCAGTACTTATAATTAGCCACCATTATTTTAGGTTCCAAAGGTAAATAGGCCTACAAATATACCTGGTCGGAAGACGAGCAAATGATGATATTGCCAATTGCCAAAAATAGAGGGGTGTTGGGCAGATGATGCAAGAAAGTCTGCCCTATGCAGCCATCATGCCTGAATTCTAGTAGAATGAGTTATAATCGTTGAAGTATGAAATTATGAATTTAAATCTATGTGAATGAAAAAAAAAATGAGAACCCATTATTTCTAATTAGATTTGATAATTCCAGAATCAAATCTGTACCCCGCATCCCACCATCGCACACTCCACTTAATTTCCCCATATTTCTCCGTGGACAATGTTCCGAGTTGAGAATTGAAGTAATATTTGTCAAAGTATTTTGCTTACCAATCCATATGTTGATGTTACCCTCAAATGGAGATTCAAAACAGGGGTCCAAATAAAGAGTACTAGATTATCGAACCTTTCTCCGATTTTGATCTCCAAAATAAGAAAATTGCTACGTTACGAAACTAGTTTTGCTGTTACTCCATAGGCAGAAACCAAAAGAATCTTTCACCAAAAAACAAAAGGAAAAAAAAAAAAAAGAATCTCAATCACCGTGGAACTTAAATTGTTAGCTTGTTAAGTTGGAGTTCTACATTTTAAGAGTACGCAGAAATGAGAGAAAAATATCAACTAATAAAGACTTAAATTTCAAGTTCCTGATTACTGATATTGTACCCCATAAAAGCTACAATTCACATATTTTCTCACAATAATACAAAAACAAAAATAAAAATTGAAAAACAAGCCCCCACACCGACCTGAAATTACTTCTTTTTTCAACCACAAACTACGTGTTTGCATAATAAATCACCAATTGGATAGAAAAGCTTCTTGAATATATTTAACCCATTGGCCAAAAAATGCTTAACCAATAATTTACCTCCTAACAATGTACATAGTTATATATATTTTTATTATTTTGTGATACAACAGACAAGAGAATGAACAAGAACTACAAGATCGAAAAGAATGCCGATTATTGATACAGAATTTTTGTGAGAAAAGGTCCAATCCTTGATTGTCATGATTGGGCTTCTCTTACATGCAATCAATGTTTCTTCTATCGCAGTTGTCATCAAGAAAACTACGGAGAACTCTATACTTAAAGAAGTTTTCACTTCATCAATGGAAACTCCTGCGAAATTGATTCACCTTGGCTTTATAGTTTATCCATCAATAAATAATGTAAACAATAGAAAACTTGTTTTTCCATCATGATTGCTGGATGTCAACTGCATATGAACCCAGGAAGAAAAGCCATTAGGATGTAGGGTGAAATATATGCAGAAAAGCCTGAAAGTGGTCGAAATTCGAAACTTGATATAGTTTATAAATACTATGAATGCCTTTCAAATCAGGAAAAATTATACCTATAACTGATATTATTCGTGTTCTAGGATTTCTAGTAATTTATTAAAGTTACGGGCTTATAGCTTAACTTGTTTGCGCCCTTTTCATATATGGGCGTGCAGAAATTAATCCAGTAAATTTATATATTGAAAGAAATTGAAAACAGCCAAGCAGTAAGCTTATCTTTCTTCGGAAAATAAGAACTTGTGAAAAACATTAGATAGCAAGAGGTTCTAACCTTGAGAAAATCTGTAAAGCGAAGAATCTATTCTCAAACATCAAGCTAAAATAAACCCGTCAATCATTAGCCCAAGCAGAATCATTGAAGACAGTTTCTAAAGAAACGGATTCCCTGTATCATAAAATTAAATGACAACGATTTGTTAGAATGATGAGTAACCAATACTGATAGAAATTATTTAGAAAGGAAAAATCTAATGGCATATATACAAGGGCTTAAAAGTCTAAAAACTAACTACAAAGCAAAGGTAATATCAGCTTCATCTATTTTTAGGGTCACCCTCTTCAGTTTGTCCTCCTTGACGGTCCTAGTTTAATAAGCCCCTCAGATTTTCGTGTATAAATTCATCATTCTTCTTTCCCAAGTTGGTAAAACGCCATAAATTCCAAATTATATCCAATGGCATATTGCTACGTCTAAAGAAACATATTTACAATAAACAGTGTCATAGACACCTGGTCATTCAACACTCTGCACATATTTGAAAATTCCAGAATTCCAACCAGATGAATCAGTGATGATTTGCATATGCCCGTGTAAGATTTGGATAACTGCACAGGTATTACAACTATAGAAATAAATAAATACTTATGATGTAATTAAACCATTTCATTAATCTATAATGCATACCTCACCAAGTATTGTATCTTTCTTTGCTCCACGGAAATGTTTCATCGAAGAACAAAGGATAATCTGCAAGTAGTAGATGTCCAAAATAGAATATTAAATACATCATTTTAAATACAAAGAAATGTAATCAAGAAGTAAAACGAGTAGCGTTGTGATTGGAATGACATAATCCGGTGGATTGACATTGATTGCACTTTAAGAAACGGTAGAAGCCAGAAAGTTGAAAAATGCTTCATCACTTCTTACTCTTCAAAACCTCTCAACTACTGTCATGGTTAATCAGTCTTTGTCTATTGCATTCTATTGTCATTTTGGAATTCCATTGGACTAATGTGGTAACCATTACTGGATAATTTTCTATTGCAGAACGCAGTACATTTGTTAATCAAAGCAGAACACAGTTTACTATTTACTAGAATGAGATGCCTTCCAGCTTAGAAGAAAAGATCTATTAAGCCAAGGCTCACAATAGCATGTCCTTTATTTCACATAGGGACATTTACACGTCCTAATTCAAGGATACCTGTTGATGATGTGGTAGAGATTTTATTGTATCCGCCACAAGAGATCTATATGTCTTGGACAAGGCAAGAACCGCATTATCAATCCATACCAGCAATTCATTATGAAAATGTTAGCTACAAAGCAAGGGGAAAATACTCTAATCTTTCGGATATTGGTGTTAACAGATATTTTGCAAAGGAATTAATATATTCAACAAAGACTTCACAATGAAGTTTACTGCAACAAGAAGAAGAAAATGCAAAGAAACTATTTGTGCTGCAATATTCATAATGTTTTGAGGTGGCCCACATCTTTGACTATTAATGACTCAATCAGAACTGATGCAAAGATTTAAATTTAGTGCCAATGTGTTATATGTTACTGCCTTATTTAGGGGCTTTATTGTCTTTATGTGTTAAGTTGTTATTGCCTTTTTAGATGTTGCTGAATTCTAGGAAGCATTGACAGTGTATGACCTTGGTTGACACGTGTCTAGGTTTAAGGTATATGTGCTGCGCCCTGTGCCTTTTGGTCTTCATGAATGGAATAGTCCCTTTCTTCCTCCTCTCTTCCCTTCTCTCTTCCTCTCTTATCATCAGGTATCAGAACCGTCTCTCTGGCCATGGCTCTGGCGGATACGCGGTCCTCAACAGAAAGACTCAGTGACTTAAAACACCGACTGGAGATGCAATCCACCTTAGTCCCCCAGAACCCCGACAATATATTTGACATTAGACAAACCTTGAACCAGTTTTCCAACCTACTAGCTAATATCTCTACTAAGCTTGTCACTATAGCCAACAAACCTCCACCTCTACCTACCTTCAAAATAGGTGAACCATCTAATGCCACCACTCTAGCTCCACAACTCATCATCATTCCACCACATACAATGGCTCCACCATTATTCTCTAGACCTGCCACACCATTAACTTCAGCACCTCCAACCCCTTAGTTTAGCTCCTTCCAAGGCCTTCTACCCACACCCCTATCCCCTTACTTTATGCCTACCAAACGCAGCAAGGTGGCATTTTCAAAATTCAAGGGTACTGCCTTTAGAGTGTAGGCTTATTGTTGTCATCAATTCTTTGCTATGGATGAAACACTTATTGAGCAACGCATTCGACTCTTGAGTATTCATTTGGAGAAATGCGCCCTACGTTGGCATCTTGCCTTCGTGAAATATAGGCAGCTCTCAAAAATTTCTTGGGAAGATTACCTTCAAGAGACGGAAGAAAAATTTGCAGACATTAAAGAAGATAATCCTACGATTGCCATTAAGAAACTCTAGATGACTAATTCCATTTATGATTATGAAGAGCAACTTGATGAGTCGTTGACAGAGGTGGACCTTTCAGAAGAGGCTGTGATGAATTGTTTTATTGGTGGCTTGAGAACTAATGTACAGCATGGGATTCTCAGTCTTCAACCTTAAACTTTGGCCTACGCAATGAAACTCGCCAAGCTTCAAGCTGAAACAATTCAAGTGATCCACGAGCATCCCCCTTCCAGATGTGTCTCCTTGTCTGCTCCCTCCCACGCGTCAGGTGCATCATGGTTCTCTTCCTCATTATTGGGTCTTGAGTCTAGGTTAGGTCCCAAACCCACAAACTCCTTTTCGAGCCCATATTTTGATAAGGCCAGACTTGCAAGCCCACATACCGAAAGACCCAAACAAGCCGAATCTACATCTCTTGCAAGCTCTACCTCGTCCAAGCCACAGCGTCCCTTGACCCAATGAGAGATGGATGACCGTTGATGTAAGGGTCTTTATTACTAGTACGGTGAATGGTACAGCAGCACCCACAAGTGCATGGACTTGCAACTCTATGCCCTAATTGTTGAAGATGATTCGGATTCCTTTGAAGATGCTCGGGATGATATTGAACCTGATGAAGTTACGAGTATGCTAAACACCGTGGAAGGGAAGACAGCTACTTCCAC